TGTTAAACTTGTTAAACTATACTTAGCAAAAACCCCACCTATGTTCTTTTCCTGAAAGTTCCTGGTCTGGAGAATAAATGCAGGAACTCAATTCATGGTTAATTTCCCAAATGGAAGGAATGCCTCTCTCTTGAGGGTTCCAGGAGATTAACCCCTTTCAGAGCTTCTCACTGCTCAGAAGAGATGGGCTTTGAGTAATTTTTGGTGGCTCCGTCACCCAGGGAAAAGGGGTGACAAATCCATGGGAGGCAAAGCAACAGGTATAGAGTATAATAAGAATGTCTCTGAACACCCTTCACCAATATTTATTTATTAAGTACCTCTTATGCATCAAACAGTTCTAAGTGCTGGGAATAGAGCAGTATAAAATAGACAGAAATCTCTGCTCTCATGAATCTCACATTCAAGTAGGGAAAAAAGACAAAAATAAATCAGTAAAATATATAGTATATTATATGATAATAAGGGCTACGGAGAAGATTAAAGGAGGAAAATTTGATAAGGACTGTTGGGTGGGGTATTTGAACAATATTTTAAACTAATTTTTAATTGACAAAAGCTATATATACTTATTGTATACAACATGATGTTTTGAAATATGTATACATTGTAGAATGTCTCAATAGAGCTAATTAACATAAGCATTACCTCATATACTTATTTTTTTGTGGTGAGAACACTTAAAATCTATTCTCTTAGTGATATTCAAGAATACATGGCCAGCCGTGGCTCACTTGGGAGAGTGTGGTGCTGATAACACCAAGTTAAGGGTTAAGATCCCCCTATTGGTCATCTTTAACAAAAAAAAAAAAAAAAAAGAAGAAGAATACAATACATTGTTATTAACTATAGTCACTATGTTGTGTATAATTTTAAAAAGAGCAGCCAGAAGGCCTCGATGAGAAGGTGGTATTTGATGAAGAACTAAAGTAGGTAAGATAACCAACCAACCATGCATATATCTGGGAAAAGAGCATTCTAGGCAGACAGAACAAGTGCAAAGGTCTTGAAGCAGAAGAGGGCCTGGTATTTTTCAAAGTAACAGTAAGGGGCTAGTGTGCCTGGAGTGAAATGAACATCTGGGGGAGAAGAGAGGTTTGGGGAAGTAGAGAGGTGATTGGAAATGTAATGGGAGGCTGAATGGTAAAGGACCTTGTACATCATTTAGCCTTTACCCAGAGCAAGACTGAAATGCCATTGGAGGATTTTGAGCAGAGAAGTGATATGACTTGACTTATTTTTTAAAATGAATTTGGCTGTAGTTTACAGAATAGCTGAAGACAGGTAAAGTCGGAACTGAACAGCTCAGTTAAGACATGGGAGGTTTGAGATGTCTATAAAACATCCAAATGAAATGTCTGAAAAGGCACTTGAATATACGGATTTAGTGCATAGGATAGAGATTTGAACTAGAGATAAAATATGATAATCAAGCGCCAATACATTGTACTGTATGTAAAACTATGAGACTAGGGAGAGCATGGTGCTGAGAACACCAAGGTCAAGGGTTCAAATCCCCATACTGGCCAGCTGCCAAAAATCCTAAATAAATAAAATGAAATAAAAATAAATGAGACTGAATGAGTTTACCCAGGGAGAGAGTATAAATAGAGATGGGAAGAGGTCCAAGGATCAGCCTTTGGGGCTATTCTATAGTCATTTAAATTATAACATATGCTGAAAATGGGCCCCATGTTCTTATTAACTTATATTTGCATATATTCTTGTATTTAGAAGGGAAGAGGTCCAAGGATCAGCCTTTGGGGCTATTCTATAGTCATTTAAATTATAACGTATGCTGAAAATGGGCCCCATGTTCTTATTAACTTATATTTGCATATATTCTTGTATTTAGAAAGCTATGAATCAATTCCATTATTCTTGGCTTTTCATTCAATGTGCATGGAGCTCTTTCTGTGTCATCTCATATAACTTTCCATTGTCTCTGTTATAAATATGCCAGGATGTAAGAGTTTTACAGGACAACATAACCAATCAAACATGGATCAAAGACTATAAACTAAGTATCTCCTAATTCCTAGTCCAAGAATGAAGGCAGTAAGCATCTTCATTCAGAGTTTGCTTAAAAGGGCTTGACAATTGTTCACATGAAGGAAAAAAGAAAACAAGGGAACAGTGTGTGTGACACAACTGCTAAAGAAGCAAAGGATCTTAGGTTTTATTTGAAAAAGCACTGAGTTTATGGAAATCATACTTCCCATAGATTAGTTCAGAACATCTAAAATATTATGTTGACAGACATAATATTTTCTTTTTTTCTTATTTTTTGTTTCCTGTTTTTGGTGCTGCTCAGTATAGGGATATCATCCCTTGACTTTGGTGTTATAACACTGTACTCTAACCAGCTGAGCTAACCAGCCAGCCTAGGCATATTTTCAAAAGGACACTTAATCTGGAATATATCCACATGAGGGTAGCCAGGATAGTAGAATGCCCCAAACCCAGACAACCAAAAATAGTAATTTTTATTTCTAAGTAAAATCTTTAAATTTCAGTGACTGTATAGAGCTTATCAGGAAGACTAGACAGTTAGCTCAATTGAATAGAGCACAGTGTCAATAACACTAAAGTGAAGGGTTCGGATCCCTGTACCAACCAGCAGACAAAAAGAAAAAAGAAAAAGAGCTTATCAGGAGATAAATAACTGTATAAAGCAAAGAGCACACTATTATCTAAAATGCTCCCAAAGAGGCCAGCATCCAGTGGGAAGCTAAATTAGATTTTTATATTCTTTTCCATCTCCAGGATGTTTAGACTCCCTACTTCTGAACTTAATATTCTTAAATAGATATATTAGGTTGACAACTTTTGACTTATAAATGGCAATTTCCTGTAGTTCAATCTAAAAGGTCCAAGTTTACTAGGATGACACCACTCAATATCACTCACCAATGAACTATACACCAGGCCACTATATGCTCACTTAGAAATGAAAGGCATCAATTACACTCTTCTAGGGAAACAGATATTTCATAAGTACCTTCCCTGCAGATGGGGTTAGGTGAGAAGGCAGGCATTGGTTTCTGAAAGAACACAGTTGCATATGTGGATCTAGTGTGTAGGGAGAGATTGAGCTGGACTTAAAATTTAGTACCATTATTATTTAGTAACAATCTTTGGATAACATGTACAAACCCACAGCCTAAAATGTTACATAGTATTTTACAATTCACATTTTCACAATTATTATGGTTTCCAGAGTTATACTAAAGTTAATGGATTTTCAACATTACTTATTCAGCATAAAACTCCATATCTTTAGACAAAAATCCATAGGAATTTATGTCATAGCTTTATATCATTCTCAGTTATTGAGGGGGGAGAGTAAAAATGTAAAAAGTGTGTAAATAACAATGTACCCAAGCTACAGCTATAGCTTCCCAATCTTTCTTTAATTTACATAATGAATACCACTTTCCTATTTGTGTGAAGAACAAATAAAATTTCAGGTCAAGATAAAAATTTTCTAAAGAACAACACTATTTATAACTAGGGCATACACTCAGCTCTACATATTCCAAAACAAGAGCAAAATAAAATAGCTCCATATTAGATCAGACTCATACTGGGCACTACTGCACAAATGGCCAATGCCTTCCAGGGGTCCTACCCAGTAACAGCTCATTTGGCATTAAATGATAACTCAGCCCCAGGGCACATATATTTGAATTAATGCCACTGCAAAGGAAGGAAGGAGTAACAAGCCATACGATGTCACAGCTTAGAAAAGAGGGCTTATGGTCCACTTACTTGAACTAGTTAAAACTTCTTCATTGTTTCTTGGGGCAACGGAGGTTTCCTGTTAATTTGCAAGCACCAGATGGACAAGCCATACGATGTCACAGCTTAGAAAAGAGGGCTTATGGTCCACTTACTTGAACTAGTTACAACTTCTTCATTGTTTCTTGGGGCAACGGAGGTTTCCTGTTAATTTGCAAGCACCAGATGGAAAGATGGGGAACCTCTTTTTCATTTTCAAAGGATGGAAAAAACGCAAGTCTTTTCACATGCTGTTCAGTGAACTACATACTACTACCCTTCTGAGTGAATCAAAGAAATCAATTTCCTTAATCACCCTCTTCTGCCTCTATCGGAAGAGGAGTCCTCTGTTAAGCTCCACTCTGAATTCCCAAGAGAAATCCAAAGATTCCATCCAGATTGGCCAGTTAGCTCAGCTGGTTAGAGCACAACAGGGCACAAGTTTGGATCCCTGAACCAGCTAGCAACCAAGAAAAAGAAAAAGAAAAAAAAAAAAAACCCACAGATTCCATCCAGAATTTTGGTCTAAATTTTGACACAAAAACTATTACATTGTATAACATTGAACTTTAAAATAAAGCATTTATTAAAAAAAAAAAAGTATTTACTGGAGGCACAAGTTTGAACATGCTTCATTAGCCTTAAATAGATGGAAGGTCCATTGATCATACTTATTAGCCTCCACAGGTGGGTCCATACCAGCTGACTACTCACCTGAGCTGTAGCTGTCAGTAGATGACTGAGAAATGGAACGAGACAGAGAGCGACGTCCAATTTTGGTAGGACGTTTGTTGAATTCTTGCTTCTGGTCAGCAAATTGGATCTGCTAAGAAAAAGAACACTAGTTATATTAAGGAAAAGAATCTCTATTCTGAGACAGCAATTCAAGGCTTGCATTATAGGCTCTTACATTCTCTCACAGTTGATCTGATTGTACCAACCCATATTTGGAATGGTAAGACTCTTTGGAGAGAAGAGTGATTGTTCATTCTTTACCCACTATGTTTCTATTAAATTTAAATCTTTGATCCACCCTCTGACTATATACTTTTTACAATAAAATTGTGACCCACTCCCCTGAAGTGGAGAATGGGATGTTCTGGTTAAAATAAATTTTTAGAAAGTTAAGTCATATTCAGAAATCCTTTCTACAGTTTGACTGAAAATTAAAGCTGAAAATAATCTTTGAGACTACCTATATGTATTTCTATAATCTTCATATATCTAGATGAGAAAAATGTAAGGCACAGAAAGGGGAAATGGCGTGCATTAAGATTTCAAGATTCTCAGGAAATGATATGGAATAATAATTTTTTAAAGGCTTTTCATTCAGACAAAACATTTAGGAAATGCATTCAAATCCTGGCTATGCCACTCATTAGCTATGTGATGTCTGTCAAGATGCTTTTGTGTACATCATCTTCCCATAAATACAACAGAGATAAAAGTATGTGTCTCACAGATTTTAGAAAGGGTTAAATGAGACAATGTATGTAAACTATGAAACACAGCAGATTTCAATAAATCCATTTCCCGCCCCCACCCTTAAAGTTCTTATAACTCTTGCAAGTAGCCACTCTAATTTGTCAAAGGCTTTTTTTTTTTTGTCCTTTTTGAGACCGGCTGAGCCGCACCGCGCTGAGCGCACTGGCCATCTCTATATAGTATCCGAACCCGCGGGGGGAGTGCTGCTGTGCTCCCAGCGCCGCACTCTCCCGAGTGCGCCCCAGGCTCAGTCCTGTCAAAAGCTTTCTAAATGTATTAGTTAGCTTTCTTTCTTTTTTTTTTTTTTTTTGTCCTTTTTGAGACCGGCTGAGCCGCACCGCGCTGAGCGCACTGGCCATCTCTATATAGTATCCGAACCCGCGGGGGGAGTGCTGCTGTGCTCCCAGCGCCGCACTCTCCCGAGTGCGCCACAGGCTCAGCCCTGTCAAAAGCTTTCTAAATGTATTAGTTAGCTTTCTTTCTTTTTTTTTTTTTTTTGTATTAGTAAGCAAACATTATTTTTTAATATTTACTATCATAAAATACCTAAATGTCACAAAATCAATAATTTATTAACAATAATATAACAGATGTAGAAAGAGAGTATTATTAGACTGAATATGCATAAACTTCAAATTATACTCTGGATGTTGCATTTTGGACAATATCTGATAATGACTTTCTTGCAATTTTATCTCTTTCTCCTACTGTTGGAGATTACAGCTTATACTTTATAATATTTTACAAATCAAAGCTCATATCATTTATCCAACTAATAACTTTTTCTTTTTCTTTAACTGAATGTTCACATAATTGTTTAGATTACTCTTCTGGATCCAAGGTGGCACAGAGGAAGGTCTACTGAAAAGATCAAAGATCTGACAACTGATTCTACCTTTAATGATAAAAAGAGGGTTCCTCGATGGGCAGAACACAGATACAGCCTACCAGAATGAAAGTAGCAACTGATGGCTACACTTCCTGCAGTTGGAGGTAACTATTGAGTCATTTGAGTATTGAGATAAGGGGACCAATGCCAAACTGAATTAATTTAGCATTGCCTTTTAGGGAAATTCATAGCATTTTCTTAACTATGACAACAAATAAAGCCTGCACAGTGCTTTAGAGTTTGCAAATTGTTTTCAGCAATAGGAAAGTCATTGGATTAGAGGTTCTGCAAAACAGAAAATGACAAAATTGATTATTTTGCTAAAGTAGCAATTTATTCTGATAAAGTACCCTTTCTGTGTACTCCCATGGGATATACATGAAGTTTCATGAGCTTCTCCTAGCACAACACTTGTCACACTGAACATAACTATCTGTCTACCTATCTGTATCCTCTATAAATTATAGGCTCCAAAAACACAGGGGCTGTGTATCTTATCCATCATTATATCCTCAGGAATAAAAGCCTGGCACATCCTAAGCACTCAATCATGTGCTGAATCAATGAATCTTAAGTAGCCTATTCTACCTCCACTGTCTGTACTTGGTTGAATATTCAGTAAATATAATAACTATAAGCCAAGTCTAAAATTAAAATAATTTTTAAGAGTAAAAGAAGTTGGGAAGGGGAAGAGGAACAATGGGAAACTGGGGAGGTGGTTAATAGTCAGGCTCTAAACTCTGGCTTCCATTCCACCAACCTTGTTCAAGAGAATCACATGTCTTTATTAGTTTTTAGAAACTCATCTTAGAAAAGAAGTAATAATGGACCTTCCAAAGGCCATATTGAGTCACTAACTTTGGCAGTGCCCCCTCAAGAAAAGGATAACAGATAAACCCTGCATCAGATAGGCAACACACACACACACTCTCTCTCTCTCTCTCTCTCTTTCGGGAGCCAGTCACTCTCACTCTCCAGATTTGTAGGATGCGGGTGAGTACACATTTATTTATCCCAGAAACACCAAGCCATATAGATATCTAACTGCATTATCATCTCAAACCAGTTTCCCTAAGCTGAGCTCTCCTTTCTATAGCCTTTTCTATTTACTGTAATCCCTCCCAACCAGGACAAGTTTAGGTTGTCTTTTGGCTCTAAAGAAGACTAGGCTGTGCATGCTTTCTCCACTTAGAATATAGGGTTCTAGGGCCGGCCCGTGGCTCACTCGGTAGAGTGTGGTGCTGATAACACCAAGGCCACGGGTTCGGATCCCATATAGGGA